GCACACGTTTGATCAAAGGATCGGCTTCACTTGTCTCTTTGACGAGTTGTAATATGGTGCTACGAATGGTAAGACTCACTGACGATGCCGACTACGATGCTGGCGAAACGTCTGGGAATGTACCACGTCCACGGTTCGACTTTTGAAATCATTATGCATACAATGGACTCAGGACAAGGTGCTTTTCTATAAGTCTTCCTACCATTATGACCAAGTTGCGAGAACAAGGTCAAACAACGTCTAAGCATAAGTATTCTTACTCAACTATCTACCACCAGTCCTTACATCCAACGCATTCCATAATCTATTGATTTCAATAGCTTCTCTTATCTTGCATTTCGTATCAGATATGCCATAGTTAGCCAACCTCTCTGTACGAGACCTTTCTATCTCATGTCCAGTCTCTGTCCTGTGTTCCGTCACTTCTCACAGTTCGACTCAGATGCATATACGTGCATTTTTGTGCTCCGCTAATGTTTGGCGAATCTATCGACAGGTTTCACAAACATAAAGTCGACCACAGGATTAAATAATCTTATAACAGACGGATCTTGATAGTGAGTCATATTTCTAGCTAAAAGAAGGTATAATCGAAGAAACTGTCATAGTTTATCCACCCTTTCCTTACTAGTTCTCCTGTCTTCTTAGAAATAAATCATGGCGGCAGGATTAGAGCATGAGAAAGGGTCTCGGCTTGCCAGAGGGTCATAGGGTAAATGTGGTACTTAAGGCAAATCAGAACTCGCTCAGAGCATGCTTTTGTGGTGGGATCATCAATCAAGTAAACATGTGCTTGTTTTTTGCACTTGACAATACCATTTATCATTTATGTATATATTTTTAGAAATGATTCGTAATTAGTGATGGGAATTTAGTCATCGTAGAGTGCTTAAGATTGTTTGTTTGAAAGCTAAACCATCAGTCCTTTGGTGACTGGGTTCTTATTCAAGAATTACTGGTTGTCTCTAAAACTACTTCTTTCGAAACAAGTATTCATTATCCTTTATGAAGATGAATATCCCTTCCTTTTGAGGACTACAAATGTTCACTGTAGGAATTATGACTGAGCGTCAACATAGAACCAATGTTATAAAGTGATAAAATGATATTAGATAGTAAAATTTGCCACATTTTTTCTTTAAGAAGTAATACATGCGCTCACACATCAGTGTGAGACGCAGCAATTGGTCTCACTTTGTGTTGGCTGTTCAGATAGTAGATGTGCATCAGGCCTCTGAACTCAATCAGAGCACATACAGTCGATGTGTTTTGATAGTCGAAGGCAGCAACTCGGATCAATGGTGGCTCGTTGTCTTCCTCTTCATGCCAACTGGCTCCTTTGCCCTCGACGCCACTACCACCTTCGCCACCTCCAGCGGCATTGAGGCCGATATTGCTCTGTCGGTTGCCGATATACGCTGGGGCACGAGGCCGCGGGCGCCGTCGTCGCTCGTTCGGTGGCAGAGGGGGATGGTTTAGTTCGGCGACCTTTCCGTACCTATCAAAGCAGGGGATGGCCCGAATCTCGGCATCTTTCAGTCCATCAAGAGAGCTTTTCGAGGCGGAGGCAGTCTTCTTTGGGGCCACAAAGGCTCCAGAGAAAATTCGCGATGCCGAGAAAGCTGAGAAAAATGGAATGATGGAAGAAGCTTGAGACCGCTTCCTGGCTTCTCTGGCAACCACTACTTACTGTAGAATCCTGCTATTTTGAATAATTTATCCAGTTTTATACTAATTGGATAAAAAGAGGAACTCCAGATGCTTGTTCTCTTTCTTATCTCGGCCACCTACCGGATCAAACTTTGCAGTGGGATGCAGATTTCGGTATATAACGGATGTGTATCAGATGAAAATTATTTTTTTTATACATAGGCTTCGAAATTATCAATAGTTAATGAATAAGGAATTAGTTGGAAATTTAGGTAACCTTGGTTACAAAAGGAAGGATAATAAATTTCTCCATAATTCCAATGTAGTTCACTCAGACTTGCCACCCAAAAGGCCATCTCATCAAGCCCCAAACTGAATTCGATAATGTGTTCAGAATATTGGGACAATTCCGCCACTCTATTCAACAGTCACAATGCCAGTAGATGACAGACAAGATGTGAAATTCCAGGCCAGCTAAGACTGACCTAAATCACATTTATAGTGGGGTTGTCGACTAAGAAAACATGTATTCACAGATCAAGTTGTTTTCAAGACTATCAGTAATCTTTGAATGCGATCTTAGTCACCCTTGGACTCATAAAGTGATTTAAGGTCTGATAGTTGAATTTACCCATCTCATTGTGGAAAAAATTAAGCCTCAGTTCTTAAATCACTTTAAGGGATCTAGGGTGAATAAATTATTTTATTCGTAAGGACTAATATTCCGCGAATATTAGTAGATCTAAATCCTTTTTCCAACCTAGATTGCTTAATCTGATGATGTTATTGAATTTTTCCGCAACTATTTAATTGGTCCATAAGATATCAATGAATTTTACCCTACCTTACTTCCCAAAAGATGTTTTTCTCAAGAATGGAGTGCATTTCCTACTTATCCTGGGTCTGATCAGCACTCCAAACGGGAATCGAACTTGGGTTGTGAAGTGTATAATCTGACCGTGTTCACCCTATTATATACCTTCAAAAGTGTCGGTCACTGGCAGGGCGGAAGTGGATTTTAATGTAAGTCAGGCCTTTTCAAGATCCTATTTTCATATTGGTTTAATTACTGAAGTGGGCATGTAATGCCATCACAGTCGACAACATTACATATATTCCAACTGAGTAGATATTCGAGACTGCCGATGAGTCTTAACTAAGAACTCATTTGGGAAAGTTAAATGTCAGTCCTTCATCCCATCAAGCTACATAGAGTGAATAAAGTACTTATTCAAGATCTATGAATAATCTGGAACTCGTACTAATTACGAATATAAGTAATGTTGTCAACTGCAGTGCAGTAAATACGTTTGCTTAAATGACAATCCCAATATAAAAATGTGGTATAGGAGAAGCCAAGTTTGCATTGGAATTTACTTCTACCCTGTGACCGACTTGTAACATATGAAAAC